CCGCCGCCGGAGACGACAATGAGAGCGCTGCCACGCCAGAGCGTGCCCTCGGTGCGGCGGTAGTTGAGAAGCGGCCGCAGACGAACTTCACGGCCGTCAGACACGCCTGCGGTCTCGACACCCGTCCACATGAGCATCCTGCCGGGGCTCAATCTCCTCTTTGGCCTCGGCGGCGCCGATCATGATAGGCTTGAAGTTTCCCGCGCGGTGCTCAGCGGTCGTCGGGCGCTCAGGTTCGACGCGATCCTTGTTGAGGAAGCTGGCGAGATCGCTGGTGTTGCCGTGCTTCTCCTGCGCGTCGCGGGGAACAGCTTGGCCGGCATGGCGTAGAAAGGCAGGGCTCTCCTGGTGGCGCCATCTGCTCGCAGAGGCGTACGGATTCTTCTCGACATCGTCAAGCTTCTCGGCGTTGGAGGCCATGGCGAAGCAAGTGTTGGTGATGGGTGAAAGTCGGGAATTTTGGGTGGACTCGGAATGGACTCAATGACGTTATGCAGCTGTTTTAGCGCAACGAGACAACGCGTCTTGGGCCGGCCGGCTGGCTGACAGGGCTGACCACGACGAAGACCCCAACGGAACTAACCCGCCGCGTCTGGTTTTCGCTGCGCTGTGGGGGGAGGAGGGGAGGATGAAAGCTGCGAAAGCAACTTGAAGCTCGGAAAAGATGTATCACAGATCTCAAGGACTGTTGAAGGAGAGACAAGGTTACCAGCAAAAGAGGTTTGGGAGGAAGAGAAGGGGAGACTGGGAAAAAGAGATGAGAAAAACAATTGGGCAAGCCAGCCAGCCAGAGAGATGGATGGCCAAGCTGCGAACCACCGAAATCAGGTCGACGACACTCAGATTCGGCGGGGGAGCTAGAGCTAGTGAACTAACAAGCTTGGGGTGGTTGCTACCAGGGCGGAAGCTGGGTGGAAGCTCGTTGCTGGGGGCGGACGGGCTGAGAACGTGGAATTGCGGCGACAGGGATTCGTCGTCGTCAGATTGCGAGGCAGCCCAGAGGGGTCAGACGAAAGGGCAAGGGTGGGGACATCCGGCGTCTCTTGCTCGACGCTGCTGGTAGTGCTGCTGCTGCTGATGGTGCCGTCAGCCCGCGCCCAGAAGCCGGCGGCGCTCCTCAATCCAAGCTTCTAACCCGTGATGCTTGCTGGCAGCCAAGAGACATCGTCAGAGGGGACCAGGTGTTCGCCCTTGGCGCATCGTTGGCGAGGGATAGACTGCCAGGGTGGCGAAGGATGGACGGCCAGCCCAGGTTGCCAGCTTTCATTTGCTTGGCGACGATGGCGTCGTCTTCAGCTACAGGCCGGCCCGTGATGAAGGCAGAAGGTCTGGCTGATGCTATTCACTACGAACGATAAAGGCCACGCAACACACGAACCGCAGCATGCAAGACTTGACGACGGCAGGCGCGTTGGGCTGAGGCGTCACTGCCGGCGGAGGTGCAGGACGTGCGTGCCAGGGAAGTAACGACCTTGACGACCTACAAGTACCCAACTTCCCACTACGAAAACAGCATCCCGAGGCAAGTGCGAAAGCCAAGAGCCGCGGGCGCCTGCGCATCTTGAAACGGAGGGCGCCCAACATCCTTGCACGCGGCTCGTTTGGGCGTCTCCACCAGGCCCCACGAGGCTATTAGCGTCCATCCCACCACTCCCCACCGTCATCGATCGGACGATGGTCGACATGCAGTCACGCAATACAATTTCAGTGATAAGCGATATGGCTTTTTTTCTTCGTCGACTCCATGTCCTTGAAGCCGTATTGAATGCCGCGTCCGCCATCTCACCAGCGGCAGGTCCAATTGGGTCAACAGAGTAGCGCGAGGCAGCAAGACAAGCGCCGATGTAACGGCCCTGCTCAGAACCATGTGCATCTGTATCTACATCGTGCGTAGTGCCACCAATGCCAAGGGCAGTAAGGTTCTCTCCACAGCGAGTGAACACCATCACCCCCAGCCCGCCTCCCGCCTTGTAATAGTCAGTAAGCGCGGCTACGCCTCGTCCTCGGCGTCAGTGTCAGGGTCCCACTCCGGCGGCGGGCGCCGAAACTTGGATCCCTCGTGGCCGTGGCATCCGAGAGTTCCGTTATCGTTGTAAAGGACCTTGTCGAGGTCAATATTCGTCTTGTGCGTGCCGTCTTCCTCGCCGGCCCTGTGGCACCGACAGGCGAGGTACTGCGTGCCGTCCTTGTAGTTGTTGGTGAGCTTGCACGTTTCGCAGCTGTCGTGGAACCTGCCACTATTTCCAACAGTCAACATGGCGCCTGCATTCTGTCTGTCTACTGCTGTCCCCCGTGTGAATGGCAGGGAAAGGAGGAAAAGATAAGAGGCTTACTTCTCGGAGGCGACGAGGGTGCCACCGTTGTTGCCGACGCATTTGCTGAGGTCAATCCTGCGCTGGTGGTCAGCTACGTGAGCCAGCACCCACGCAAAGAGAGAATAGCAGGAAAAGGATGAGTCGGGCAGAAAAGGAGAAAGGTTGAAGCCTTACTGGGTCCAGTCATAGTCGAAGATCTCCGTCTTGTCATTGTTGCAGTAGGTGCCGAGAATGCGGTTGTTGCGGAACTTGCAGGCGTCCCAAACACACGTCTTGACGAAGCTGCCGTCGCTGGCGGCGGCGCTGCTGGTAATCCAAGCGAGGACGACCATGGCGGCGCAGACGACACGCGCGTTGGGGGTCATGTTGCTGGTGTTGTCACTGTTGAGTGGACTCGTTAGAGATGGGCTAGACCGCTCTTCCGCGTGAGGCTTGTTGAAAGATCCAGAATACAGACTCTTGTGCTTATTAGTGTTGGTGAAGCAGGTGGCGGAGGAAAACTGGAAAGTCACGTTGACTCCTCGTAACACTTCCACCAGGCATTCGGGACGTGCCTGCGTTGGACTTCCTGGTGAATCACATGTGTTCAACTGGAAAGAGCACACATGGAGTGTGTGACGCAGACTTGTTGAACGAATGCGCCGTTCTCTAGATGCGCTAGGGGTCTATCGTGTGGAATATGCTGAGCCCCCCCAAACCGACAACAATCTTCCTACAACATCGAGGTTTGCGACTTTCGAAATAGGTGCACGCCGAAATCAACCAACTTGCACCCTTGGATGGGCTTAGCAAAGGCTATACACTCCATGCAGGTACCAAACACATGGGCTTTCTTCCGAAAAGCAAGCACTGTGACGCAAGAGCAAATTGGAGAGCAAAGTCAAGTTCAAATAATTGCAAATACTACGCTAAATGTTTGCCATGCAACCCACCAACGCCTCAACACACAATATGACAACGTTCAAGCTGCAGCAGACTTCTCCTGGAGCTCTGGACTCCCGGGAGTCTCAGCAACGCCACGTCCTTCCTCACCCTCTACGGCCTTTCCCTTTCCCTGTCCCTGACGGAAGTACCCGTGAATCTCAGGCGACCAATCACCTTCACCGGCAGCCTCCTCTTCACCTCCAGACTTCTCGCCGTTGCCGCCGCGCTGCTCCTCTTCCCACTCGGTCCTCAGATCACGGATCTGCGACTTGAGGTCCAGGTCGGGGTTGTATTCCTTGCCGGCGCCGCGCATTCTCTCCCAAGCAGAGAGATGCACAGGGTGCACGGCGACGCCGTGGTATTCCTTCTCGCGACCCTGGATAATGTACATCCACCGCCTCTCCTGCTCGCGCAGGTCGAGGCCCGTCGTGTCGGGCAGGAAGCCCCAGGTAAGCAGCATGCCGGCGAGGCCGAACCAGGGCACAACGTGGAACTTGGTCGGCGTGTCGATGTAATTGTACAGGACACTTGCGAGGAGAGCACCGGCCTTGCCGATGCAGGCGGAGAAGCCGTGGGCCGAAGCGCGGACGGGCGTGGGGAACACTTCGCCGGCCACAAGGAATGTGACGCTGTTGGGGCCGAACTGGTTGAAGAAGGAGGAGAGGAAGTACATGGCCTGGAAGGCGTGAATGCCGGCGGGGGAGGTGTAGTAGTCGTAGTTGAACGCAGGGATAACGAACATGACGAAGCACATGAAGAAGCCGACTTGCTGCATCGTCTTGCGGCCGTAAAGCTTGTTGTCGATGAGGAGACTGGCGAGGTAGTATCCCGCTAGGGAAACGACAACATTGATGAGGTTCCAAGTCCACTTCTCCATCAGACTGTTGGGGTTGGAGGAGATGACCGAGATGAACTGGCCCTGGAAGAGCTTGTTGCCGTAGAAGAAGACATCGTTGCAGAACCAGGTACCGGCGGTAGCGAGAAGGCGGCCGCCAAAGTTGCTGCAACAGGCGCGCAGCGGGGTTGACGTCGTAGCCGGTGACGGAAAACGCCGGCACGCTGCTTCGCGAGGGCCAACCTGGCGGGTTGGCACGGGGCATCCTTCCGGGTACGGTAGTAGAACGAGCCACAGGGTGCCAATGGGGGGGAAAGGCAAACGAGGATGCGGGAGGGTGAATTTGGGGC